AACTGGAAGCTATTCAAATGACACATTTGGTACGTCAACCAACTGACCTACCAAAACAATTGGTTTGGAAGGTCAACCAATATTCCAGGAAGATGCTTTTTTTTTCCCTACCTAGCAGTTTATTCCAACATCTTTCTACTGTTGCTCATGGGACCCAAAGGTGCTCTGAAAAGATCGCTTGTATCTATCGCTTCCCCAACGATTTTACTCAAGATGTCTTTCTGTAAGCTATGTTGTGATGAAGTCGCATGATCTTCAGTAGGCAACATCAGTAATTTTTTACTCTGGTTATGTTTCTAGTCATCTTGTTTCTTACCTCTACAAAAATCGCATGCAGTTGTTAATCTGTTTCCAAGCACATTTTCTCATCTTTAGCATGAGGTGAATTATTAGCCTTAGTTTGTCTCTAGTGGTTTGTGTTCAATGGCTATCTTCTCTATTCCATTTAACTATATCCTTCAAAATGTCTTCTGTAGTTTTCATACTGAATTTTTCATACTTACTGTACACTTTCTGCTATGTAAAGTTTCTTGTCTTATCAGTGCCATACCTCCACTCTGGTTTTACTCCATTCAGTTCATTAATAAGAATTGTTTTCTTCCTTAAGTCTGACAGAGTGATACTTTTCAATTTTTTCTCTCTAAAACATCAATTCTTCTGTTACTGTCTAGTATGTGAACTTATTTTCTAGACTATATAGGCACCTTTTTCTGAAATGTCTCTTCTGGTTTCAGATAACAAAGAATATTTTATAAGATTATTATTTATCATTGTGTCTCTTCTATTACTGGCCAGCACAAGATTGAGGGAAGAATCTCCATTTCTTTTTTAAGTTGTCTTGAGGTCACTGCTTAAGGTTATGCAAGCAGAATGAATTTTATTAGTGAATTTTGGAAATGGAAATTTGCTTTTAAGATGTAAATAAATATTTATTCTGTGATCTTTTAACCAAGCTTTTTAGCTACTATTTGGAGTTATGATTTCACATCATTGTAGAAAAAACAGAAACTTAAATGTACCTATGTAAGTTAGCACTTGGCTGTGTTAGCTGATGGAATATTGGAACTGATTTTTGTAAATGTTTTACCAAGAAGTAAATGCTTAATCTTTTTATGAATAAAACACTACTTTTCAGTCTTGTAGCTGATAGAATGAAGTAAGGTAACTGAATTAAAAAGTCTTTTTAGTCTTATGTTTTGGGTATTGTCTAACCAGACATTTCAAACACTCATGTTTGCCTTCTCTCTTTCATTACTAGCATGTTTCAGAACGAGGTTTGCTCTCAAATGCCAAGATAAAGTTAATCTATTTATGAGCTACTATTTTCTGGTTTGAATAATCAGTAAGTACTGCTTTTAATGCATTGGATTCCTGAGAGAAAACTATTAAATAAATGGAAACACAGGTGTGTAACAATGCTTTTCTCTGTTTCTGAGGAAATTAAATGTAGCTCATTGTCAGTTCGTACCTCCATTAAAGAGCGTAAACATCCCAATTAATAAAAGACAAAAATTTTAGCCCTATGCCTTGTGTGGAAAAAACAACCTTCCTGTAAATGAAGAGATTATTGAAAAGTATATTATACCATTATTAAGAAGTTCTTCCTATACTTTTTTAACAGATTCTACTTTGCTGAAAAAATTGTTGTTAAATTTTTTTAGTGTATGTCTTTAAAGTGATGTAAGTTAAATATACACTAAGGTATTAAAGCTAAAAGGTGGATTTATTACTTCCTAAGGACCCTCAGATTTATAGAGTAGTATATCTGTGGAAGGAACAGCTATCCATTTTTACACATAGCTACACAAGAATCCCACTGCTCACCTGTAGCTTCTGTGGGGATTTTAACATGAAGAATGTCTTTGGTCATGGAGAAATAATGAATCTTTTTAGAGATTTGTTAGGCTAGTATCATGGAGAAGTTTCTGTGTAGATATTAAAGATGTTATGTTTATATGGATAGTAGGTCGTTCACAGTACTGCCGTTCAAAGCATTGCCATGTGTTCTACAAGATACAACTTCAGTATAGTAGATAAAATAATGCAATACAGATATAATGAAATAAAGGTCTGCAGACAGGCTAACATGTTGCTAATAGAATGGAAATACTTCACGCACACACAAAAAAGTGTATCTAATAAAAGGATCAAACGATTCATTAATCAATATGCATATTGAAATCTAATTTAAGCGGGTTTAAACAGTCTCACCTCCAACATGCTTTTTGCCTTTAACATGTTCTTACAGTAAATAGAATTTGATCAAAAAAATCACTAAACTTAGTTTTCTGTTAGAAACATGTAAATTTTCAATTTAAAGGTATTTAGAACCTCAGTGGAATACTGAAGAATTGTAATGCTGTTGACATATAAGTTCATGAATAAATGGATGTTGATATTAACTTGAATGTACTAGTAAGTATGTCTTTTTAAAGTTTTAATCTAATTCTGCAAGCATTTCTTTCTGCAGATCCTTTAGTAAGAGTGAGAACTCTTTGAAGGGATATCCTTGTTCTCATTATTGCAGTTGTATTCCTTCTACCCCATCAGTTAAGCACCCCTACCAAATCTCAAATGTTTTATTCTATGAGTGACTAAAAATTCTTGTAACCTATTGTAGAGACACTGTTGACCCTGTTCTTATGGATGTTTTCCTAGTATTTCTTAAAGTTTCACTTTTGAGTGATAGCAGTGAAGGCATATTTGCACGAATAAAGAATATTACTCAATGATGGTTAACTACAGAAGATGCATCTTGTTGGTTTGATGAAAACAAAAGCTCAGCATATTCTTTCAGAGATACTTTCAGACAAAGGAACGTATAAAGTTGTAAAATAGCTTCCTCAAGGTCATTTGAGAGGAGGATTGCAAAGCTACTTTAAGAAAATGCAATTGTATTTCTCTTTTTTGGGGATATAAAGGAAATAATTCACATCCTAACAATTAGGAACAGGATAATCCATTTCTTCTTAAAATGTAAGGTATATTTTCATTTGATATAGAACAATTCAAATATTTGTGAGATATATCTAGTTACATTTTAGCTCTCAGAAGTTTAGTGTGAAAATTCTTCTATATAAAAATGCATTTTATCTGTCAACAAAAACTTTTAATAAGATGTTTAAATAAAGTAAATAAAGCTTGTACTTATTCTGTGGGGTGAAAGTCTTCTTATCGGTGCTCCCCATTAGACTTGTATTTGTGTGCTGTTTTATAACATTGTGCAGAGATGTTTTTGCCTGAAAAAATGAGATTCTCATTTCTGAGCTCTAAGAGTTGTAAGCTCTAAATGTAACTTGATTCCAAAGGTAAACATACAAGGTATACCTACAAGTTCTTGCTGACAAATACAATATCTGCTTGATGATGGGTCCCATTTTAGCTACCTTTTCTTGAGGAACAACTCTGCTCCAGGAGCTCTCCATGCTGCTGAAATCTGTCATGTCATCGCAGAGTTTAGCTGATAAATTTCAGTGTGCCTTTATGTGCGATAGTGATTCATCAGGTTTGTAAACTTCCTTCTTCAGGGAAATATATCGACTCTATGAATATCCTAAGTTTGGGTAGTTTAAAATTAGTATCGGGTTCTTCTTTCTGCCTTTAACAACTTTGAAAATTACCTTTACATAATTTAAAAATCCTGGGATTTAACTAGAAAAATGACATCTTTAACATGAAAGCAAGTTATTCATTAGTACTAGGTAAAATGAAATTATTTTTCCATGTTATAAGTGTTTATAGACCAATAATATTTTGAAAGTATGCAGCAAACTGTGAATAAGTGGAAAAGTTGATGTCTAAATACAAGAAGTAACTCTTCTTCTACCTACAAAAATTCTGTCAGCGATTCCACAGAAATGTTTACTTCAACCAAGTCTAGAAAGATAAAATGTATATTATTATAGAGTTTAAAAAATGTTAAAGTCTACTAAAGACTTACAAGAATGTTTGTTACTCCTATTTTTACTTTGTAATTCAAGCTATCTATGCATTCTGTGAATATTTACTTCCTTAAGCACAATATTCAGAGATAACCTTTTTTTTCTTCATTTTTCCTATTTGTTTTTATATATATGAACCAAAATAACATAAAAGTGTTGCTGTTGCTTTCTTTGTCAGGAGGTGCCACATCTTTTTATCAGGTATCTTAATGGTCAGATGTCTTTTCTCTACTGGGCTTAGGAGTAGTCACTTTTTCCCTCGTAACAGAATTGCATTTAGCTTGTAATCAACACTCTGATCAGCAGCTTCTTGTGCACACTTGCTTGCTTATGGGCCCAGCCCAACTCTCGTGAGAATTTTAGCTTCAATATGAGTAGTCAGGTATTCATTGTTCCCTTTTCATTTTGTTTCATTTCATTTCTACTAATAATGTTTCTGTCTGTCATTTATTGCTTGTTACATTGTGAAAGCTGAGGAGGTTTGTAAACTAGTCAGCTGTTGTTGTAGCTAAACAGAAGTGTGCAGGTCCAGAAAGAAAACCTTAATATCATTTAAACTGTTCAAGCTATCTGAGTGCCCTGTATGGCCAGCCTAGAGTTTAGACATTATGAATAACTGGATTACCCTTTTGACTGAAGACAAAATATTGGATTTATATTATCTGAGTCTAAACATTGCATTTAGTTTTCAGGCTTCTGGGAAAATACCAAAGCAGCTCAAAGCTTGCTGTTACCAGTAGCTATCAATCTATTTCCCTATCAGTCCTATGTCTCCTTCCTGCCCTCCTTCTCTCTTCTTGCTCCCACAATAAGCAATGTGTAAAATATGGTTATTATTATGTGTAAGAAGTACTTTATAAAAATATTTATTGTGTGGTTTATTGCTGTTATACAGCCTAAAACCAGCAAAAATGTCCTATGTGCTCAGAAAGGCATTTCAGCAGGAGAATATGTAAGGAGATATTTTATCAGACATTAGAATGAGTTTGTTTATTGTCAGACAGGAGCTCCCAGAATGTTTTTTTTAGAAACAAACAAGCCAAAAACTATTTTGATTTTAATCAAAAATGTATTTTCCTCATAAAAAAAATTCACATACTCACTGTGTCTACTCTACAGAATTTGTCCATTTCATTACACCATGTGTCAATCCTAGTATATCTGTTCACTGCAAAAACTCGTGGCTAGTGTGTGTAATACAGCACAGGAGGAGGTATTGCTCAGTTCCACTACTTTTATATAATAATAAAAAAAAATACAGAAAATGTTCTTGGCTATTTGCACTGTATTCCAGACTTAAAAGTCCCATGAAAGTTCTAGAAAATGAAGTTAATTTTATTTGGTTGGTAGAATACCCTTAGAAGCCAGTTAGTTAAAATTCTTCTCTTATGCTGAGTCGGTACATATTCCCATTTGTCGGCAGCAGCAAAGTCCAGGCATCTAGTTCCTAAAAGAAATACTTTTTCTTGTTGCCTTTTTATTCAGCACAAATGCAGTCATGTGCTTTTTATTTCAGAAATTAAGTGATATACTGACATATTTATGACATATTCGTTGGTACACCTATTACAGTTGCTTTTACTTCCATTGCTGTGCTTTTTTCTTTGCCCACGTCCCAAAGACTGATTAGAGGAGGATAAAGCTCATTGAGTGAGAAGGATTGTTTCTTCAGGTAGTTCTTTAGATAGCTGTGTCCAACATCATAGTTCATCTCTCGTGAGATGTAGCTGTAGAGATATATCACAGAGATGATTCCCAGAAGAGCACCAAGGCAGGCAAGGAATCCTATTATGTTGTTCTTTTCATAGCCTGTCACTGCCAAGTCCAGTCCTTTTGTGGTTACGTTGACACATTGTTTCTTATTCTGTGAATAGATAGTGGGAATATCTATACAAATTTTGTATTCAGTTGATGGATTTAGATGTGTAAGATTATATACCTTTATATCAGATGGTATTCGAGCGCTCCGTGCAGCCTGAGAGTTTTCAGCTTTCAGAAAGGCTGTCCATCTAACACTGGACTTGAGAATTTTAGAACTTGCTTTCCATGAAACCAAAACAGAATTAGATTTTATATCTTTTATTTTAATATTCAAAGCTGCATTGCTGTCCTGAGGGAAAGAGCCATCCACTTTAATCATGACTGACTTTAGGTCTGCCCCAACTAAATTAGTTGCTATACATGTATATAAGCCACTTTCTTTTTGTGTTACATCACTTATGTCTAATGTTCCTTCAGAATGAATGTAGTATTTATTAGAAATAGTATTAGGCAAAAGTTTGTTTCCTGATGGTGTTATCCAGTAGATTTCAGGTTCTGGTTCTGCTGTTGCTCTGCAGTGTAAGGAAATATGGCTGCCAGCTTTTAAATCCAGAGTAGATGGAAAGCTTTCAGGAGCTATCAGGGGGAGACAGATTTCCATCATTTCCCGGAAGTGTATCTGTCTCACATTCTGGCCTTGGAATTCAGGAGGGTCTACACAAAACAGGGACTCCGGCTCCATGAAGCGAATGTTTGTTTTATTCATGTTGATCCAGCGGATGACACAATCGCATCTAATGGGATTGCTGTGTATACTAACTTCTTTGAGGTTAGGCAAGGATTCTATCGTACTGCGGTACAGGGCGCTCAGCGCGTTGCTGTTGAGCATGAGTGATTCCAGCTTGGGAAGTCTGTAGAATGCATTTGGATGAATGTATGATAATCTGGGGTTATTGGTAGCTTCTATTTTTCTTAAATCTGGCAAATTATCAACAGCAAGACTATCTATAGAAATCAGTTCAGGCATGTTATTAATTCCTAACTCTTTTAGGTGCAGCATATTGCTAAAATCTCCTCGTCGTATTCTGTTAATAGGATTCTTATTTAGATCCAGAAATTTAAGATTTGTAGCCTTTTGAAGAGCAATGTGGGGCACTCTAACAAATCTGTTGTCGTAAAAGGAGATGCTTTCTAAATTGTCAAGGCCATCCAAAGCATTATCTGGTATTTCAGTGAGATTTATGCCTGCTAAAACTAGGCTGCGCAGATTGATAAGAGGCTTAAAGTTCATATCTTCGATTCTGATTATTGGGTTTTCTCCAATCATGAGAATTTCAAGATTAGGAGTAGCTTCAAACCACTTCCTGTTGATCATTTGCAGACCATTTGAATTGAGGTGAAGTCTGAGAAGATTATTGAGGCCTATGAAAGCTCCCGGTGCGATCACAGAAAGCAGGTTATGATTAATATAAAGCTCTTGTAAATTGTGGAGTCCAGAAAGACATTCTTCAGGGAGTTCAGTAAGTTTGTTTTCTTCAAGGTACACTGAAAGCAACTGTGGTATCTTTCTAAGATTAATACTGGTCACTGAGGATAAATTGTTCTGAGATAAATCTAGACCAGTTAAATTCACTGGGAAATCTACTGAATGTTCAATTTTTGCAATATTATTAGTCTGTAGAAGTAGAACCTGTGTGTCGGCAGGCAGTCTGGCTGGAAAATTAAAAAGGCCTAAATCATTACAGTCCACTGTTGGAGCCTCCATATACACAGACCTGGGGGTGAACCATGGTCTGATCTCACATATACATGACTTGGGGCAGTCTGCTTTTTTTTCTACAGCTTGTACTAGTGCAGTGATAACTAGGCCAAGTAGAAAATTAATTTTGAGTTGCATGTCCTTCATCTTAGCTCAAATGTTCAGAAAAGTAACAGACCCTTTAGTATTCCACAGTTATGGTTTTGGAATTTAGTATGACCTGGTCAATTGATAAAACACACACTTGCATTTGTCAAATGATGATTGCGAAGGACTTTCTTCCTGAGGATAAGTGATAAATTTGCAACCAACTTGTCCAGTAGTAAGAGGCATTTTGTGGAGATGAAGGTCACTCTGTCCTTGATGACATAAAATTGATAAGCTTTGTGAAGATGAAGTATGTATAGATGGTCATAGGAGATTAAGCAATTCATTTATTTAGTAGTATTAACTTCAAATCCCATGATTGATTAGTGTTTGCAGGAATGACAGGATGACCTAAAATATAAGAAGAGGAAATAATTAGTATAAGAAACTATAAAGTTATAAATTAATTTAGCCATCTTTTGCTCTCTAATGTTAATTATTGCAAGTAAGAAAAGAAAATGACTGTGGTGTCTAGAGTATTGTAGTGGTATCCAGATAGCATAAATGAAGTTAATATAGTAATATATCTTTAGACTTGTAGCCTGTCATACATCCAGTGGAGCATTGCTCTACAGAAGGATGAAGATCCACAAAGTATAAAGCAAAATACATCAGTGAGATTTTTCTACATATTTTATGGTCCTTTAAAATATTTTCTTTTTTCTTTCAGTTATCACTAGAAGCAGACTGAGTTCTGTTGGCTTTGAAAATGTAAACACTGAGCAAAATCATACAGAGCATGAATATTTAACTTTTGAGCATGAAGTTTATAAATATAAAGAACATAATTTATGTGTAATCAAAGGAAAGCGGAATGGTTGGATTAATACACATTCCTAATGATGACGTTCTTAGGCAAGCCTGTGAGATATTTATACAGAAATATACAAAATTGATAATCCACAGGTTTTATAATTTTCTAATTCTTTTTGTAGCTGCTGTTTAGGAAGAAAACTTGTTTTTTTCTTTAAAGCGATAATTAGAAAGAAATATGTACCTCATAGTAAATAGCTTGTCATCTTGGCAGATTCAGGCTAATTAATGGCTTGCTGATTTTGACTTCAATAACTTCAATTGTAAGGAATAATAACAACAGAAAAGTGTCTTTAGAGTGATAAGAAGGAAAAAAATCTGCACTAGCAATTGCTTCTTTGAGATTCTTGCAGAGCTACAGACCAAATTTGCTATGAAGTTGCAGATTGTCTTCATGTCCCAAATTATAGCAAAGACTGAAGCTTTTAGCATCTTGAAGAATCAAATGTGTCCTCTCCAGATTTTTGGTATGTACTTGCTTTTTCTGGAGAAAAAAAAAATGCTACTTTGAGTGTACATTGTGTTCCAAGCCATATAATTCAAAAGCTCCTGTGTGTTTTCATGTCTCAAGTAGTACACATTAACTGCTTCATTTACTTCAGAATATAGACTTCACACTAACTTTAACCAGACTTTGTCTCAGAAGACTGTCATGCGATACACATTTATGCCCTTTCTCCCCTTGCCTCTGGTGTTAAAATTCACAGTGACGTTGTTTACAAACTGTAAGATAAGTTCAATGCTTCATTGACATTGATAAATAACTTTTGAGGTGTTGCTGGTCTAGATAGACGAGATTACAAAAGTCAAGTGTCAAGGATTTCGATTTTAGGTTTCCTTTCCAGGCCCAGGAGGACTGGGCATATTGACCACATAGGCATTCCATATCAGCTCAGAGGAAAGGTGTTGGACCATGTTGAGTAACACGAGCATTTGGCCAATTTGCAGTACATTTGGCAAGTCTTTGAGGCCGCTGTCTGTATGTACATTTGAGGATATTTAATATTTTATTTTAACATGCAAGTGTATTAATAAAGTGAACAGACAATGTGTGAGAGAAACATACAGAAAACATTCTGCTGTTTTGAGGATTAATAGTATGTTTTTATGCAAATGGACCAGTTTATACTAAAATGCAAAGACATGGTGACTGAAATAGTAAAAATGTAATCTCTTCCTTTGTTCTGGGAAATGAGATGAACTTCAGGCTTGCAGAAAAATAAAGGTTTGCACTGGACAGTTAATGCCTATAACTTGCTCTTAATTTTGCCACCAGGAGGCAAGGTGATGTGCCTGTATGGAGTACTGTCCCATTTACTAAAGATTTTGGTAGAAATCATTCTATGCCAAATGCACAGATGTGATTTACTATGTAGGGAGAAGAGAGGATGGGTGTGTGGGGGAATTTTTTGTATATTAAAAATTTATCTGTAAGTGTGGCAAATACAAAATGTAAGCTTCTAATAATTGAAAGGACATTGGATATCTTACCTGAACAGTAAATTAATTGACATTCAAGGGACTGCTACTGCAGCTATCAAATCTCAGCATTTTGATCCCACTATGACGCTCAGGGACTTCTGCTCAGTAGAGGTACTGGGAAAGTATTCTGGGGAAGTACAACTACATACCTGACCCGTTTTTCTGCTCCTCCCTGGACATTTGCTATTGGCCACTGTGAAAAATAGGATGTGGACCAAGATGGACTTTTCATGCGTGTCCCAGGTACCTGAGAGGCTGTACCAGTTAAAGCATGTAAACTACTACATTTTCACGTACATAGAGCCAACATCCTCCTGGATTTGAGTTTATACTCCTCCTGAGTTTATACTTCAGCTTCTATGGGATTCTTAAGCCAAAAACAAGGGAACCAGTGGACATTTTCATGTCATATATATTAGAGTGGGCTTTCTGCAAAAGGCAGCAAAAAAGAAGAGGTTGGAGATAAAGGTTGAAATTATTCTTCTTTATGATTTAATCTGATGTCTTTTCTCTTTCTGGTGAATGCTCCAGCTAATAAGCCACCAGCTCAAGCTCATATGGTGTTCTAGCATAAATCTTTCTTATTTCTCCAGTTAAAGTGCTTCTGCCTTGTATAAAATATTCACTGGGGTTGAGTGCCTTGAATAACAGATTGTAGAATAATTTTCACACTCTCTCCCAGCCTGCAGAGTCATCGTTCCAAAATACATTGTTTCTCTTCAGAAAGATTTTTGGTTTAAATAGTGTCATATCTATGTATTATTTTACATGAAAATGATTTGGTATTAACTATCATTCAAGGTGTGGAATAAAAGAATGTTTCTGGAGTAGTATGGACATCCATGGTGGCTTATGAGATCATAGAATCAAAGACTAGAATATCTCAAGTTGGAAGTGACCCATAAGGAACGTCGAGTCCAACTCCCTGCTCCTTGCAGGACAACCTAAAACTAATATGACTGTAGTACACATCATATGACATAGTACACAAAAAAAGTGAAGTAGTGAAAAGCACAGCAAAAATTGTATAGAATCATTTGAGTGGCAAAACATTTTTCTTGCTCTTTTTGCTTATAATAGTATTATTGTGTGACTCTGATATACAATGTTGACAGAGAAGGTAAGAAAACATGAATTACTGATGTTTTCTGGTCCCACTTGAAGAGATCAAAACCCAGAATCAAGTTATGCAGTATGACTTTGCTTATGCCAACTGGTTGTATTGATTATGTGTGTGTATCTGTGTGTACGTAATTAATTTCTAACCATTTTGAACTGAGAAATGAGCTGCAGTTTACTGTAACAAAATAAACCTCATGTAAATTGATATCTTGCACTCAAAACTATAAACTGTAATTGAAGTTCAATTTCCTTGAAGAGTGTGGCGTCACAGAGATAAATGTTTGTATTGGAAAAGAAGCATTTAACTTTCTGATACTTTGAACTTTGGGAATGCATTAATTCCTTTTCTTCATTAATGAACTGATAATAGTAAATATGTACTGATAACATTAAATAAAGATTAAATTGAAATACTGTTACTAACAGTGATTTTCAGAATTTTTATTAATGGGTTGCAGTGCTTTAAAGCTAAGTGCTTTGTACTATCAGGAGTTTTATGTGAAAGTTTTGCATTTCGAATGTCCAGTTTTAAAGGTACTAATAAGAAGGACAAAGAGATCCTGAAGGTTATTTGTCCTGTTCCTTTGAGTAGTATTTAAAGTATCTGAGATTTACATACACAGAGGTTTCTGTGTAAAAATAGATATATTCTTTTAAAAAAAAAGTTAATTAAAATAATGCAATTATATCAGCATTCTCTGTTAAGCAAAAATACTATTTTTATTATAGCTCTTTTGTTAGTGGGTTTTGGTGACCTCTCAAGATTTTTGATGTGATGCAAGCGATTCTTAAAACTCGTACCTACTATGGTGCACAATAGAAAAGCGAGTAGAGATGAGGCTCAGCAGCAAATTATCACCAGTAAGCTGAGCTGTGGGATAAGTGTTTTCACACAAGCAACAGCAGGAGCTGTGCATCGTAGTTTTGGAGTCTTTGATGTAATTCTTTACCCAGCTGCATTTATAAATCTTTATGTGCACTCTGATTGTATATATATTTCCTCATCCAGATAAAATGGTATGGTTTACTTCCTAATGTCTGCAATTAAAAAGTCTAAATAGAGTCTGCACCTAAAAAGTTAGTATTGCTTATTAATAATGATATTCAGTATTTTTATTATTGTTTTTCTGTACTAGAACTTCTGTCCTAAAACCGTTTATATCTTTGTGGACAGATGATTTATTTTCTTCCTGAAGTCCATCCCTATTGCAATCCATACTTACTGTCTTACTGAATACGGTGTGCCTCTTGTTTTTAAGGTATTATCTCTTGCTTTTAGAAAAATGCACCCTGATGTGTGTGACTTTTTGCAGCCTCATTATCTCTTGTGTAGACAATGATTGGTATGTCTTAATTAGGTTTGTTTCATTTACTGCTATTGACAGCTGGAGCCTTGGTTTAGAAGGGGGTATCGCCATTATTTGAGCTGGAAAAGACATTCAGTGAAGGAATAAACTGAGCAACGTTTCTCATCACTGGAGCAACAGACAGCTAAGAACCAAGTCAGAGTGGGCAGAAAGGAAAAGAAACACGTCAGGTTTTGGCAATCTTTCTTTTCCACTTCAGCAGTTAGAGAGACAGTGCTAAAAACTAAAAATGCAGCAGCTACACTGCAATGTGCCCTGCTGGCAATAAGGCAAACAGTTCACTTCACAAGGACCAATTTAGAGGTGGCAAGCATTTTGAAAACACAGCTGTTCGTACAAAGCTACCTTTCAAACACATCAACTGAAAGAGCCACTTCTCCATTCTTGTCATTATAACCACTTTGAGCAGTTCTATGGACAGAAATCTGGAAATGTCACTACCCAAAAACTGGGCATGAGACATTTCATACCTCACTTGGTTGTAGTTACAGCACTTAGGGTTTTTTTTCGTTTTTAAGTGTTAGTTATGGAAATATACAGACTTCAGTTTGAACATTTAGTATCTTT